ACAAACACTAACTTAATGCACACGTTGTCCATCTTGCTCTTTGTGTTTCTTTTACCTATGTAGAAAGACCATTTGGGTTCGATTTATCGCGAGAGGGGCACTGTTGCTTTTGATGGCCAGTTCAGTGACCATAATTGTTATTCGCGAGAACAGCTCTTTTTTTAGAGGCCAGTTTTCCATCTTGAGAGGGCGCACTAATTGTGCTTTCGAGTGGCAGTTTTTCATCTCGAGAAGTTTTAGCGAGAGGAGCACTATTGTTTTTAATGGCCAATTTTCCATCTCGAGAGGGACACAATTGTATTATTGCGAGGGGGGTATTTGTGCTTTCGAGGGGCAGTTTTCCATCTCGAGAAGTTGCACAATCTTAGTGCGAGAGGGGCACTTGTGTTTTTGAGGGGCAGTTTTGCATTACAAGAGAGGAGTGACAATTTTATTTGTAGCACTTTCATAATTATGCTTTCATTTGTGTGCGTTTGAGGGGCAGTTTTGTTTTCATAAGGAGGGAGAACATTTATTTAAGCGCGAGAGGGGCATAAGTTTGTTGGCTTGGGAACATCTGGGGGGGGGGGGGGCAGTGCCCCTGCCCCCCTGCCCCCCCCCCCCCCCCCCCCCCCAGTTCCGCCGCCCGTGTTCATGTGTACAGTGGACTTTATTTCAAGTCGGGACGTGCCGCCTGGTGTTTTAGAAACCTCGTTTCCTTGGCCGCGAGCAGTATGATACAATTAGCTGCTCTCTTGAACTGCACTAGATTAGATCGTTTGATTAACCCCTCCCCCTTCAAAACAAAAATGCTTACGTAAAACAAAACTACAGTAGAATACGCTCCCATTGACGAATCCCGTAAAAGTACGGAACACAAAATAGACGGCAAACGACGGAGAAAATGCAGCGACTAGTCCAGTCAACGTCTGTGTGATCAGGCAAATAATGAACGCGGGGCGACGGCCAAATCTGTCCCCTATAGCACCAAAGACGACCACTCCCACCATCCCCACGGCACCGAAGATTGTCAGCGGTAGTTCGTTCAGCAAAGCTTGGTCGCAAACAACAGAAAACTGCAGACAAAGCATCAAATTATGATGAAAGACACATGCAGACTTCCTTATGACCTTTGTACAGTTTTCATGAAAACCCCTGGTGAAGATTAACAAAGAAGACAAATGAAATTTAGAAATCACTTATCATTTGCATTTTATCGTAATGTCATGAAATTGACCGCTTTACGGGCTATAGTTTAAGTTATATCAGACATCGTTCCACTGACCCGCCAAGTGTTATGTCTCCATGTAGGTGCTGGAACAAAAAAACACGGGTAAAACGCTGTTCGCTTTCAACTATGCGTCAAGTTGCAGCTCGCCCGGCGAAACTTTCTGGGATAGAACCCATGGTGAAGGGGCAGATAGGAGATTTTGTGGAGATTGTTCACTTTGGTGATAAAAGCATGAAATTTGGCACAGAGTATGTCATGAAAAAGATATTTGGCTATAGCGCCATCGCAGATTGTCCTTTGAAAAACTATAATCCCGTCAAGTCGGTAAACACAATCATCGCTAATGACGCCGTGCAAGTTTGAACTCAAGTTCGATGAAAACTGCACACTCTTTAGACTTTTCGGACAATCTATAACCCTTCTTGTTATATTTTTACTGGGCCTATAAACTATAGGATGCAAGGGTTTTTTATAACATCCCTGCCCCAACCCACCCCCTCCCATCCGTCCTTGAAGCACCGTGGCCTCGCGCGTCTAGACTATGGATTCTTCAATTTCTCCATAATCCTCCGTTTCTGTGTTAAGTCGAATGACGCAGGCTAAGGCCTACAAGAGCTGACTTTCTTGCCTTTTAAAACCTTCCCCCGTTTTACGGAAGAGACTGAAGTCAATTACTGGCGCCCAATGGCCGACTTCAGTGGTATAATAGCCATCTAAGATAAAAGCTGATATTGAACGTGCGTGGTACGTGGAGATTTACTGGCTTCTTTTGCTGTTGTTTTGAAAACGGTACAGAAATGCGAAGGTTGAAATTGAGCTAAAGCAATAGCTAGGTTGCTTATCCTGGCCTGCTTTGAGAATTTCCCTTCATCTCACATTCCATTGGACAATTATTCTTGAATCAAAAAAGAGCAAGGAAACTACTTTACAGCTGTATAATTAAACAAAAATAAGGCTTCTTTTTGATCGTTACATCTTCCTTATTTACGTCTGTGAAAACGGCCTGAAATCCTTCAACTTATACATGACATTATATACTTAAACATAGCAAACTCAAACGACAGATGAGATAAAATGATAAAAAACTAATACCCTGTTTAGAGGGACCAAATAAGATAAGTAATTGGAGACATTTGTTATTGTCAAAAGTGGCATCTTATTAGGCATGAAATCATCTCGCAATGTTTTACCCATTCATTCAATTTTTGTTTGGACTCAAATGACTTTCTGAGTAGATCTGTGTATGAAATATGTTTTGCCACATCAGGATAAATACTTACTTTTTATTTCCTTGGGAAAGAAGCAAAACTTCCCTGTCTACAGTTTGTTACGTTATGTCAATTCATAGACCCCGATAGACCTTTATCATGCTGCCACGTGACCATTGCAGTCACGTGCCCTGTATCCAATTTTTGTACAAAAAGGAACCTGACTATTCCTTCCAGCCTCGCTTTGGTTACGTTGATATGAATGGGAAAAATAACAATGGCCGCAACATGATAATGGTCTATTGTTCTAGGAAGTTACAGCTGGTGGTTTCTTTGTGATCAGTCACTCCACTGCCAAGGTCATTTCTGGTGTTTCACGTCGGGGACAAAGCCGCGAAAACGGGACAAACATTTTTGTTTGACAGACTGTTTTTTCTCGATGGACTTGAAAGATAATGTAATTTGTTATCTTATTGAAACTAGGGACTATATAGCCGATTTGTTTACAATTTGAAAGGTTGAGAAACTTTGAGTGAGAAAGTGGTAGTGCGTTTGAATAACGTCGTATTTGTGCATGAGTTTGTAGCCATTATGATGTATACGGGAACTGGGGACATGACAGTAGCATGATTGCCCTTGACGGAGAAATTAGAGGCACAGTATGGGACACGTTCTTATTTATCCAGGGAATTTGAAAAGACAGAAGTCATTGACCTCTTGGACGTCTTTGTTAGGGGTAGATGGCCCCATACATATATTTCCCCAATACCTATGTTCCCCAATACCTATGTTCCCCAACCCACACCCTAAACCTAACCATCTAACCCTAACCCTATAACCCTAATAACCCTAAGGGGTTAATAACCCTAAGGGGAACATAGGTATTTGGAATGAGGGGGAACATAGGTATGTGGAATAGGTATTGGGGAACATCGGGTAGACCCCCATGCTACTCGTGTGTACAGCCCGAGTACAACAGCAGGGCACCGCGTATTGGCATCGATAGCCTGAGTAATTTATTGCCTACTGTATTGGCAGCGCTGTGTGTTGGCATCACGCATTTATGGTGTAAACGAGGATTTTCTATTGTTCCTCTTCCTCATTCCTTCGTTTACACTCCAACTTCCTCGTTCCTTTGCGTTACAACGTCCTCGATTTGACTCCTGTCCTCATTTACTCGATGATGCTCCACATGTGTGTCCTCCATTTACACCATAAACACGCACACACCCACAAATGTTTACGTTACTTACCAAGTGTGGACATTCCATTGCTTTCGTGTAGTTAAGAAAAACCAGTGAAAAAAAATCATTTTTCTCAAACTGTGAAAACTCTTTCGACCCATTTTTTTTTCTATGATTCCCTTTAATGTTTCTCTTCATTCTGCCACGGATAAACCTAACTCAAAAATGTCTCTAAACCTGTTTCCAGAAATGGGGAAACACTGTGTGGACTTGCCCAAGTCCACACAACGTCGCCTCTACCTGGTTTATGTGGACCTCTTTTGTTCGGAAGTCCACACAGTAAATTTAATGCCTACCCATACTTTCTTCTTTATAGTAAAGTGGGGCTTTTCTCTTCAAACTTTAATATTTTAATCAAATACATGAACAGTACTTCGAATCAAAATTGGAAAATAAAACTTTAGCTTTACCTGTTCTTTAATAGTGGATTTGTACACTGAATGGTCAAAGTCCCAGCCAGCGTTGCAGTCAATGATGGTCTGGTTTAGTTCTCCTCTTGTTGTGTTTATCGTTACCTAATCAAAAGCCAAGGAGCAAAGAGTTCGGTGGTAAGTTGTGAGTCGGCGAGTGTTTTCGTATGTGGTCACCCCTAAAATAACGCAAAGAATGGGCTAAATACGACCCCTTGTATAGACCACAAGTATGAAAAAAACTTCTGGCGATGAATAGCCATTCAGAATACAATTTTGTGCGCTCTGAGACCAACTTAACTTGGGTTTCTCTGTCTGGATTTTTAAGTTCTGGCAGGAGCTTTCACCCATGTCACTTGTTGGGCGGCCTGTCTGTTCGTCTACTGTCATGGTGTCTGTCTGTTTGTCTGTCTGTCCCCGAAAATTGCAAATGAGTAAATGCCATGCCGTGGTCATGTAAACGCACACTTGCCGAAAGGTTTTCGGGAAGATCAGGGTTTTTCGATCGATGCGCATGCGCGTCTATTTCGCATATGAAGTGGGACATTCCCAAACCGGGCCAGAGCTTATTGTGCAATGGGCCATATTCACGAGTCGGCCATATTGAATTGAAAGTGAGGTAAAAATCTTAATTTTTGGAACTTGCGAAGAGAAATGAAAGCAACTTAATTTATAATAAATTCCAGTCTGCTTCAAGTGAATAATTAAAAATTTGTAATTAAACACTCCCCAGGCCTATATATTTCCAAGCCATATTTATAAAAAAAAAATAATGACGGTAAAGTAAGGCATAAATAGTCTGGCGCCATCCTATTCAACAGTTAACACTTAATGAAATACATTCAGGGAACTCGACAAAAATGGCCAACTCATGAATAAGGCTCCTCGCGCTTGTTTCTGAATATGGCATAATGCTTGTTTCGGTTCTTTAAGACTCGGTGAGATGGGAACAGATGAAACACGAAGGTCTTGGAACCCATAAGGAGCCTACCTCCACACCAGTCCAGTTGTACCGTCGACAGTTGTCATTTCCTTTGCCACTCAGTGTTGGGACAGCCACATCAATAATCTTCTGGTCGCACTGGGCCTCATCCAGGCCCCAGGCACCACACTGGTCCCGTATCTCGGGGACAGAGCACCAGTGATTAACACTGGGATTGGTGAAGATCTAGAAAAAAATGATAGTCAACAAACTGAAATTTGAACGACGTTGTCTTCGCGATGCCTAAATGCAGACTGAATGTGGAGACGTATAATTACTTTTGGTGTACATTTTCAGTGCACCTAATATGAAATAGGCCTGCCCTCAAAACATTGCAGTAGCTTAATTTTGATACCAGATTTCGTGAAGCGTGTCTGTATAGTTATCATAAGTGGGTGAACGCTTATTTGTACGAGAAATTGTTGCACAGTGTCCTTATTTAAACGTGCTGATTTTTTTCAAAAATCAGAATAAATTATCCATAAATGTTACATGGGAAAAGCACGCGGCGACATAGTTTAACATTCTTGTGTTCTGTGGTTTTAATACAAAGTAGTTTTTTTTGCAGTCATTAAGCACATACAACCTTGTCATGTACACCTTCACAAGACTTGACTTGAGGTCAAAACTGCTATAGTCTGCTGAGCCAGGGGCGGCGGAACCGGGGGCGGGCGGGGGGGGCACTCCCCCCCCCCCCCTCCTCCCCGATTTACCCAAGTGCCCCTTTGGCGGACATAAAGTGCCCCCTCGAGCATAATATTTATATGTGCCCCCTCGAGATGAAAACAAAACTGGCAATAAAATTTGGGAATAATTTGTTTTCAGTGACCATTTTCCCACATGGTATAGAGAGTTCTGATATGAACGAAGAATGTGAAAACCAAGCCCAGTGAAAAAAACGTGTCGACATTTCAGCACGGATGTGCCCCCCCAAAAAAAAAAAAATATCTGGATACGACGGAAGATGACTTTAGCGAGCAAGTGCCCCTTTTTGTGATGCCCCCCCCCCCCTCCCAGTTTGAAAACCGTTCCACCGCCGTTGTTCTGGGCATTAGCTTTCAAGAAGACTTAGGCCTATCTCACCTCAACATTAGGATACCACATGAGCGGTGCCCACATAATGGTGATGAACAGAGCCACACGGAACTGGTACAGACCCAGCTCCCCAACGCAGGTCAAGACTTCGTCGAAACGCATCTTTCACCAAGAAAAGTCTTCTGTGGTTCGGTTGTAAGTCCACACCGTGCCAATGCACAATTGTATTTGAGTGGTCGGGCACAACCCGACCACTGACTAGAATTGTTCCGATTAATCGAGTGGTAGGGCACAACCCGACCACTGTCTAGAATTGTTCCGATTAATCTTTCTTTTCTTTTTTTTCCGGACAATACTTCTCCGCGGGTTTACTCCTAAACCGTTCAAGATATAAACTTGTAACTTCGAACACATATTGACCCTGATCCCAAGTAGTGCATATTGTCCTGACGTCATGATGACGTCATGATGACGTCATGATGACGTCATGATGACGTCATCAGGTATCAAATTACAAGCAGTCAATAGAATAATACTGGCTCTTCAATTTACTTCGTGGGTGTCGAATCATACGACCCTTACTTCCGGTCGAAACCGGTCGAACCCGGAAGTGCCTTGTAATTTAAAAATGGTAAAAGATATGAACATGCTTTCAACGATGTTGGTCTTTGGCAAGAAAGTACTTTTCGAAACTGTAACTGATGACGTCATGAAAAATTAGAGCACCCTCTAGCGGTATGTTGGAAAATGTCCTTATTGCATTTTGAATAGATGTCTGTGGCGAAGTTTGCTGTAATCTTTTGAAAATTGGTATATATGATAACCTTCATGCAAACAACAGGTAGAGAAGTTTGAAGCCGATGACGTCATCAGACCGGAAGTTACAACGAAAAGACTTTTTATTCTTCAAAAATCGATAAAAAATCAATCGTGAGAGATAAAATCTTAAATTGTCCATTAAATGATAAATTACACATTGGCGTCAATTGTGCCAGGCGCATGGCTTGTTGTCAAATTGTTCACACACGTGACCCGCCGCCGACAAAAATACCCTAACGGTAGTCCGTCGCTCAAAAATTCAATGAAAGCGAGACCTGGGTGTGTGTGAGTACACTGCATGTACAGGACATTGTACATGTACAGTACATGTACATGCATTCAGTGCAGATCCATTATTTCATCACCGTCATGCTTGTTGGAGCGGGGCCAAACACGTGGCGCGTAGTCTTCAACCTCGTCCCCAGGGTGTCGAGCAGTACGCGCCCACCACTACCTGCTCTCTCACCCTGGTATTGGATCATTTGCATGTGCAAGATTTTTGAACACGTATGCAAATGAGGAAGGGTCTGGTGCCTGGATATGTGTTACACATTAGCGTTTGTATGCGGTGTCTGGGGTAAAAACAGAGTCAATTCGTAACAGCGCGAGCACGGCGTGAGTTACGAAAACGCGATTTTTGAAATCAAACTGTTACGATCTTATCGAGACAACATGCAGTATCATGTTTCCTATTAATATGAGCAAATTGTAAAGAATATTAGTATTTTCGAGAAGGCGTGGACAAATGATCGTGAAAACACGTACTGCACGTTGTGAATAATAGCACCAAGTACACGATAAAAATCCATTACTATAGCCAATTGCGGTATCCAATCAGGATACAGGAAGAAAGTTTCCTATCCAGGGTTTACTATTGGAAACGCGGTTGGAAATAAAGTAAGCACTGGGGACGAGGTTGCGAAGTCTTGTGCTCAAGACGCTTGGTCTTCTATAACAAATCCCATACACTTCGTGCACGATTTTTCTCGTCAGCATTTTAGTCATAAAAGCACACTCATTATGACATTGAAACTTAACATAGTCAAAGAACATATAGCAAAGTTGTTGGCGAAGATGGACCCAATGATGACGTCATCATGTGATTTATTATGAAATTTTGAATATTTATTTACGCCCATTGGCTTTGTACACAGTTTTTTTCACTTTGTGCCCTTCTTTTTCAAGGGACCTTTTTGGCCACTTTTCAATGGGGCATCTTCATCAAAGTAACACCAAGCAAAGACGGAATGCTTAGATTGTGCCAGAACAATGATGGCATGATGACGTCATCAGGTGTCACGTGACAAGCAATTAAACTTTGATATTTTTTTATCTTTAAAAGTCTATATAAAATCAATAATGAGATCTGTCGTCTTGCTGTTTGCGGCAAGTGATAGAGTAAAATAAGGTCTGTATTTTTTAACGTGTACGTAAAATCACATGACCCGTGCTTCCGGTCGAAACGGAAGTGGCTTATTATTGGCTTATTATTTAAAATTGAAAATATATATGAACTTGCTTTCAACGGTGTTAGTCTCTGGCCAGACAATATCCTTCAAAACTTGTACCGGTGACGTCATGAAATTCTCAACCGCCCTCTATCGGCCAAGGGCGGATCCAGAACACAATTTTGGGGGGCCAAAAAAAATTTGGTTCCCCAAAAAAGTGGGTAAAAAAAATTACAGCGTGGAAAATAAATGTGGATTCTAGATGCTCTGTGGTGCGATCTGAGGCAATTTCTGACCACTTTAATCAATGTTTTTTTGAGGAAAAAATGGTGGTGTACTCATTGCCTGCCTTTATTGCGATGTCACATAAAAAATTAAAAAATTGGTTTCGTTTTTTGGGGGGGGCATGGCCCCCTTTGCCCCCCCCCCCCCCCCCCCCGGATCCGCCCTTGCTAGCGGCAGGTTTAAGAATGTCCAAAATGCATTTTGAATAGATATCTGTGGCGAAGTGTTTTGTAATCGCCTGAAAACTGGTATATATAATGATCTTCATGCAAACAACACATGTGTGAAGTTTGAAGTTGATGACGTCATCAGGCCGGAAGTTACAACGAAAAGACCTTCTATTCTTCAAAAATAAATCAATCCTGAGAGATATAATCGTGAATTGTCCGTTGAATGATATCTTAAACATTGGCGTCAGTTGTGCCAGGTTCGTGGCTTGTCTAATTGTTCACACACGTGACCCGCCGCCTACAAAAATACCCTTATAGTAGTCCGTCGCTCAAAAATTCAATGAAAGCATAACTCGTCGTTGTTCGGCAAAGGCACAGGGCGCGCACGCCCGCTGAACGTAGCCTGGCTTTTCGTTTGCTTTTCGCGGGCGTACATGTACATGTACATGTCCAGTTATTAGTACGTAGACTCTGAGAAAGTCTGAGGAGAAGTACTGTTGTCACGCGTGTACGACTAAAATAGATCGCTGCGCGCGTCTTCGCATACGCAGTTAATGTGTCATAACCGGGGTTAAGCTTGTACACTGCATGCACACTGTGATTCGGAAAGTAGAATGTGTGCACTTACGCTGTTCGTGGCGCGGCCCGGAAAGGCATCCTCGTACGAACTCTGAGCGGCGATTTGGCGAATATAAATGTTTGTTTCTGTTTATAAATTTACCTTCGGATAGTAAGTATTAGGCCAAAAAAAATAATAAGTCGGTCTCTGGTCAGCGCGCGCGTCGATTTTAATCATGCGCGTCGATTTTTTTTTTCCAAAATGTTCCACGGTAGCTCCAACAGCGCCCTCTATTTCCGCACCTCCTCAATTTTTTTTACTAAAGAGCACCAAGGAATGGGAAATTGCACCAAGGCACCCCACCTTTTCTGTACAATCCAACCTTGAAGAAAAAAAAAAAGAAAAAAAACCGCGTGGCCGCGTCAATTCCGGAACTTTGGTCTGACCAGAGACCGAATTTTTAATTTTGTTGGCCTTATTTTGGGGTTTTTTTCGGGCAAGTGGTATTGGGAGTTCATGCTGAAAACACCTTACCATTTAAAATGGCTCCAGTTATGATCGGACACTTGAATACATGCAAATCAATGAACATGCATCCTCTCCGAATAACATCAGTATTCACCACCCATGTTCACTTTTTCTACGTTTAAAAAAAATAAATACATACTGACATTGATCACTAACTAAAAGAAACATTTTTAAACAAAATGATTCATTTTTATCAGACTGTTTAAATTTCATATTCATAACTTAATAACTGGACAGTGTTTCATAAAATAGTTGTCTACCCGACCACTCTGCGTTTGTAACAACAAACGCGAAGCTCTAGTATTGTATTATTAATGTTAGGGTCTGATTAAAGACGTGTGACGTAATTGCTTTCAGTTGGATGAAAAACAATAAACGGAGAGCTGGATAGTGTTTTATCAAAATTTCGGGAACAAATCCCCTGATTGTCTTAAAGCATAGTATCATCGACCCTGTTAACAGAATGACCATTCTTATAAGTTTCGCTAGATCTCTACCCGGTGACAGCAGGTGGCATATTGTAATTTTAGAAGGCCTTTTATTTATGAACGTGATCAATTCAAACGGAAGCAAAACTAAATTATAGACGCTATAAATAATGGCAGTTGTAATTGGTACGATAATGCTGCTGCATCATTTCACTCGGTAACGACGGAAATAAACAACAGTCATTATTTATAGGTTTTATAACTTCAAATCGATACCTTTAAAGTGGTATTATATTGCTCAAACTTGTTGAGATAAAAAAAAAAATAATATCCCAAAAAATAACTTGCGATTTCGAAAACGAATGTGAGAAGGTTGTCTGCGAATCAGTCAAATAAGCTGTGTGTCAATTGGGGTATTAAATAATCTTCAAAGTAAACGTCAGAGTTTGTGTTGCATCCATTTCCCTGGAATGTTCAGACTATATTCCGTTACCGAATATACTTCCAGATGGCTGGAAGGTTACCAGAGACAACACATCAGTTTATGTTATACAAATAGTCTTATCTTATTTTTTAAAGAAGGGGAAAAATGGGTTTTCTTGTCCAGGTATTATCTAATTATCTGACGCTATTATGAACCTATAGCCCGGCCCCCTGCCGCTTGAAGCACGAACTTGACTGACCCCCCCCCCCCCTCCCCCCCCCCCCCCCCCGTTAGTTTGTATGATTGCAAGGGTTATCGAATTCACCTTTAATATGTAACAACTATTCATCAACTCCCGATCTTCTACGGTACGAGCGAAGCGCAAATAATGGTCGATTGTATTCCCGTCACATAACTTAACACGGCAGTGTTTATTGAAAAAAATGTCTGCCCGACCACTCTGCGTTTGTAACAACAAACGCGCACTTCTAGTTTAAAGCTGTGTTGCTGCTTTTCAGTGTTCCATCAAAGTTGGTTTTGTGTTATCTACTTGTGTATCATATCGCAAATGAATATTATCT